CTTTGGACCAGAACTCTAGAAAAGTCTAGGTGTCTCCGAACAGGCTCTAAAGTGAGGTCTAAAACACCATGAACCCTGGGCAGCCATTTGTATCTTGATGTGTGGAACTGCAGCGGTTCTGGTCTGGAGATAAAACTCATCTGGTTGTCAGAGGAGCATCCAGTAGAGGTGCAGAGGTCGGTTCTTGTGTCGACTGATCTGGATCCAGAAGTACCAGACTAGAGATCAATCAACATTAGAGCATGAATCTGAAGAGTTATTGTTTTTTTCTTGAACTTGCTGTGAACTTTCTGGCAGCACCCACGAATGGTTGGGAATAATCTTGGAGAAGCTGTGAGCTCGACTTTCGGTGTAAGGAATCAGTTCGTCTGTTTGGAGTCACCATCAGAGAAATGTACCAGCGAGACATTTAAAGGCAGAAACGGCAATTTACGACTTCTACCTGACCCAAACTGTGGCCTTGACGGCGGACTGATCTCAATTATCCGCGCTAATTAGCAGCAGCTTTGTGCACTTCGTCCATCTTTCGGACGGCTCTACGTACATGTTCTCGTTGTATCTCGGCGCAATGATAATAAAGCTTATTCTGATTCTGGCTCTGATTCTGATTTTGATTGTTGCATCGAATTGACTGACTATTAAAACTTCACTTTGGTGAAAGAAGTCTTTACATCACAGTTTGCACAGAACAGCAGAGCACGACTGTTGGAGAAAATATATTCTCACTGTAAGAGGCCCACTGCCTGCAGCTCCTCCTCCAAGATGGCCGCTGATTACCACCAGCTGTCGTCCATCCACCTAAGAGGCTCGTCTACTATTTAAGACTGCAGTCCAGTGTGACTCTTCGCTGGAGCATTGTACCCATTTTGGTATTTATGCTTATAGCCAGTAAATCGTTGTGATAAACAAATATTACTTACCATTGTTCTTGTGCCCACAGTCATCCTGCTTCCTCGATTCCTGTCCTGTTCTGGAAATCCCGTGTCTCTGGTCCCTGTTCTCTGTGCCTCGCCTTCCAGCCACACGCCTGTCCAACCTGCCTTGCCTATACAACCTGGTCTCTCTTCTCTGGCATCTTCTGGGGGATTTCATCCTTGTTTAACACCTGCGCTCCCATCTGTAAGAGAAATACAAGCAAACGTTCACTGTGTGCAATCCTACAAGTGGACCTTCACTGAAACAACTCTCTTCCCCAGGATCTTCCGAAGAGATGACCACCTGTAAATAGCACTGTAAATAATAAACACTGTTATCTTTTTCTAAACTGTATCTTGTCCTTTCTGGTCTCATACAACTCTGGGTTCCCCGTGTTATGACACTCACTTAATTTACTCAAATAAAAAGAACCACGCTCTACGGTAGGAGAAAATTGTTAACTTGCAAGGTCAGATTTTCAGGTCAGGTTACACAGATATACAGGAAGTACACACAAGAAGACCAGTCAAGAGAATCTGCTACGAGCTGTGTGTGAACCTTGTTTTTATACTATTATCAGTTCAGCTGAGCTCACAGACTCGGAGGCATCCTTGAAGCGACAGCCGCATGCCTGCAGCCTCATCCAGCTCTCTCTGCTAACCCAAACATATGATCCCTGGCCAGAGTTCACATTCTCAGCCATAGTAGTTAAAAACATCCATAACCTTTGATGAAAAATTCCCTAACAATGACATGTTTTTCTTTTTCTTCTTCTTTCAGCTTTTCCTTCTTCAGGGGTCGCTACAACGAGTAATCTTCCTCCGTTTCACTCGGTCCTCTGCATCCTCTGTCCTCAATCCAACTACCTCCATGTCCTCTCTAACTGCATCCATGTATCTCCTCTTTGTCTTTTTCCTGGAAGCTGCATTTCTAACATCCTTCTACCAATATACCCACTGTCCCTTCTCTGGACATGTCCAAATCATCTCAGTCTGGCCTCTCTAACTTTATCTCCCAGTTGTTCAACCTGTGCTGTACCTCTGATGATCTCATCAAAGTTCATGCTCAATCATCCAGGTACAAAATCCAATAATGCTCAATCAGGTCATCTGGACAGTTTCTTTTTTGTGGAAAGACATTTCGCCCTCTATCCGGAGGGTTTCATCAGTCACCAGCAAAACTAGCAAACTGGTTGGTCCACTAAAGAAGTGTACTGCTTAGTGGGGAAAACCGTTTACTTGGGACTCCTCAGACTGATGAAGCCCTCTGGATAGAGGGCGAAACGTCTTTCCACAAAAAAGAAACTGTCCAGATGACCTAAAAGAACATTATAGTATTTTGTACCTGGATGATTGAGCATGAACTTTGATGCTTTAAAAGAAAGTTACAGTACTTTTGAAACACAAGCGCCACCTTGTTCTTTTAGATTTAAATGGTGAGAAAAGTCATGATTTATTACCATGCAGAAATATACTGTGAAAACTTATGATACATGGTGCTGCTTTGACAAATACTCTGGAAATATATCTAAAATGTTATAACGGTGCGAAGACCAAGCTCATTAGCCCAGTAATCTGTTGACGGTCCCTAAGCAAACCATCACTCCTTAGAGGAGGGACAGACTGAGAGCAGCTGACAGAAATCAGACTGCCTGCTGAATCCACGGAGCATGAATGTGAAATATCCAACATAAAACTAATTTTACCACTGCAGCACAAACTGGATAATATCCTTATATTTAAGGCTGAATTCAAAACAAAACTCCATGAACCTCAAATACGGGTGTCTGTTCTATTGTTGCTGTTGTCTGTGAGAACAAAAAAGGTTAAATCATGACATCTGGAACAGTTTCTTTGAGGGAGGAACATTTGTTGTCTATGAGGTAACATTACATTCAGTACAGTATTGCGAGGGAACGCAGAAACTTTTGCGAGGGTATGAAAAAAAAAATAAGAAAAAAATCCCCCTTGTCTCCTCCGGGGCTCAGTGGCCTGAAGAGTTTAACGAAACAAATTTTAATAAACAAAAATAAAAAGGCTGGCATGGTGTCAAACCTACAATTACTTGCAGATAACACAGAGGAGAACAGGATCCTGCATGAATAAATCACAGATGAGCAGAGTGGAACTGAAGGACTGTCAGGACAGGGACTGATGAGAAGACTGGAGGCAACTGAGCTTAATGGGACAGGGAACAGGTGTGAGTGGGCGTGGCAGGACTGAGGAGTGAAAGTTGATGACGTAAAATTACTAAAATACAGAAACTAAACATTAAGAGAAATAAAAAGTAACATAAACCTCCAAATGGAAAACTAACTGAAAAAAATTGCAGATCATGGCAACAACAGGCTGGCAGTTCTGGCAACCCTGAAACATTTTTTTTATCCCAGACATTGCTCAATCTTCTAGTTTCTCTCAGCTGTTGTGGCACTCAGCCTTTATGTTTGTTACAGCTATCAGTCAGATCAAATACCCAGAAATTTTACTCCCACTTTGACTCCTCAGTCCCAGAGGTCGAATAAACAAAAAGATCGATGCGCTAACTCAACAGTTCCGTTACAACATCAAGGAATAAGCAAAGAAAACCTTGGATGTGAACCTTTTTTTTGTTTGTTTGTTTGTTTGCTTTAGCTGTTACGAAAGGGCAAACTGTACCTAAAATCCCATCTTGCGCAATTACAGGAAAAACCAAAGGTTGTAGCCAAACTCTGTCAGGTTAAAAATGCGTTCATCTCGTTGGATCCATCAGTTTCATTCCTGACGCGTGCAGAGAAGTTACAGTTTGAGTGTTTTGTTGTTAGTTTAGCAGATTCCTTCTGAAGCATGATGAACCTGTGGCTGAGCTGTTTTCTCCTGTTTGCGTCGCCGTTTCTGAGCAGCTCCGCTCCGACACCTGAGGAATGCCAGGCGCTGGTCACACCTGTGTCTCTGGCCAACTCGTCTGTGGTAAACCTTCCATTTCTTACTGGTTTTTGAAAAAGATGGCCCCTTGGAGTTTTTTCCTCGTTAGTTGAAAATTGATGTAAACTGTACACTGGAATACAATTTTACTATATTATCAAGTTTGCCTCTAAAACTTTTAAGCAAAATTTTTTTTTTCCACCTTAAACTTCATCTGCAAAGTCAAGTTTGTTAGAAGTTTACCTTCAAAGCCTTTTTGTTCAGAAAGAAAAACAATTTTTGTTCAGTTTTTTTTAAAGCTACAAACTAAACAATGCCATGCAAAAATGTAGAAGTTTAATATTAGCTAATGTAGCATTCTTTCTTATTTTCTTTAGCATTTTTTGTTGTTTTATAAGCCTGAAAAAAAAAACAAGGCTTGTAGTGGCTAGCTATTAGCCTAGCCTGAAATAAGATTTCTGCCCTTTTCTCACTAAGACACTAAATACTGATAACTATTTGACAAAACATCACTGTAAAAATGACCATACTATCTCTTTAGGAAAAATCTGATAAGTTTTGTCTTGGTATAATTAACAAGTTAAGTCTCCTTTTAGTGGATTTTGTCCTGGTGGCAGGAACTTATTGTAGCCAGGAATGCAGAGTGATGAGGAGCTCGAGAAATAAGAAAAAACTTATTTTAAACGCAACAAAAAGGCAGAAGTGACAAACTTAGCTGTGCATTATTGGTGTTTATCTGAGGAAGGTGTAACTAAAGAGATTAGCGCTAACACAACCATGACAGGTGAACAGGGTGCAGGTGAACAGGGTGCAGGTGCAGGTGTGAGTGGGCGTGGCATACCGACTGGGCAAGAGTGATTACTGGCTGGTACAGAGAAACACGGAGGGGAAGAATATATAACATATCTAAATACAATAATCTCCAAACAAAAACACCAGACTATTAACAGACACCTTAGAGTTTTATAAAACCACTAGAAGGTGTATTTGTCACGTGACCATGTGATTCACTGCAGCAACGGCGGCCGTTACCAAAAAGGGCAAACGTCTGCTCTTGGTGCTTTGACTAATTAGCCCAGAGTAAGGGCTGACTCTGTTAAGAAAAAGGTAAAAATAGTATTAATAATAATAACAAAAATGCAATTAATGTAATATAATAGTATAATATAAGACTGTATAAATGTCAGAAAGCTGTGAGTTCTGTGGTTGTTAGCAACAAAAGAGAAAAATGGGAATGTGATCTGACCAGAACTGAAGCTAATAATGTAACTACTTTAAAGTAGCCTATAAAACTGATGTATAGATTTTAGATTATAGAAGTGGCTCATAGATCATAGCGTCTGTGGCAGATATTGCTCTGCTGTACAGGCTATATCGTGCTACAATTAAGTACAAACTATTAAGTAGTACAAATGGGTATTTCCTCTGATAACAATTAATCTGCTGTGTTTGCATGAATTATGAAAGTATACTTTGTAAGCTTTGGTATACATTAGACACTGATCACTGCAATTAGCTGCAACTACAAAGTAGTATAAGCTACAGGACATGGGCACCGGCGACACCCGTGACCCAAAATGGAAGAAGTGGGTAAAGATAATGGATGGATGGATGGATGGATGGATGGATGGATGGATGGATGGATGGATGGATGGATGGATGGATGGATGGATGGATGGATGGATGGATGGATGGATGGATGGATAGTATAAGCTACATAAACACAATTTACACATTAAAAAAGTTAGTTTCAAATTCATCAACCAGATGAAGTCATAATTGTTAAATCAGCTAAAAAGTCTTGAAATCATTGGAATTCAGTCATTAATTATTGACTGACTCCAGGTTTAGTTTATATCATCATTAATTAGACCCATTTTTTTCATTCAACCTTTATTTAGACAGATAAATCCCATTGAGCCTCGAGGACTCATTTACAAGAGAGACCTGATTTCAACAAAGAATGATGACAACAGTGGACAACAATAGACAGTTATTAAAAGGCATACAGATTTATGTATTTATTTACAAATAAGATGGCTAAAAAAGTAACAAAAAAACAGATAGATTATAAGGCGAATGTAGAAAACTAAAAACAGGAACATGTCTGCATTGGTCCCTGCCAGGAGTCCAACAGATTCTTAAAGCCACTTAGAAAGGTCAAGGTTGATTTTAATTTAATTTCCTTCTATTGCAAACAGCTGTTGTATACAATGGTTGCATGAAATTAACATTAATTAAGAATTATATTAAGCTGTTGTAAAGATGTTAAAAAAGAATTGATGGCATAGATCCTGTTGGGCTTGCCGTTATTAAACAGTTGTTTTGTCAGCTGTGGGCAGCTGGACGCCATCTTAACTTCTTCATGATGTCACAAATGTAAACAATGGACGGGATGGAGGGTTTTAGAGAACTCTACAAGCGCAACAAACAAAAAACAGATCACGTGAACAAAAAAAAAGAAGGTTTACGTTACGATGAATTGGAGTCAGGGCAACAGTCAGAACAACAACTGGAGAGAGATATAACTCATGGTGTTTGTGTTTGCAGACGTTCGGCAGAGTGAACCTCCTGGTGGGATACTCAGACTATGACGCTTTTAAAACCATCATGAAGATGACGGACAGCGCCTGGAGGAATATATCAGCGTTGCCAATAAGCCCCACAGAGTTTCTCATGTTTCAGACGCAGAAAATGTGAGTCCACACCGTAATGTTAGTAAAATAATGTGTGAAATCACAGTTTCTGTGCTGTTATCATTCTGTGATTGAAGTACAGCCTGACACCACAGCCGCTCAGGAGCAAGTCTCAGTAAAATCATCATTTAAGGTTTAAACAACTCACAGAAAGTTTGACTTTACAGTTCACTCAGCATCTCTCACTGCACTGAAGGGTCTCTCTCAAGTCCTTTCAGAACACAAAGCGCACACTCTAACTTTCATAAACTTTATTATAATTTAGCAGAAAAGTCATCTTCAAATCTGGAAGCAAAGGGGTATTTTTTCTCTCATGACAAGTTTGAAGTATCAAGAGATATAAATTGTAGATTCAAGAAACACTGCAAAAATTTCAACATGTGATGATAAAAGCTTTCTGCTTCTCGTGAGTCAAGATGTTGTGAAATCTGATTTATAGTTTTTGTACAGCGGCTGTTTGTTCGAGGCTTACTTTTCAGTCTGCATTAATTTGCTTCTCGTTAACTTGACAGTCAGGGAGTGAGACACAAGTGTGTGGTTAGCAAAACGACCACAATGAGCCATTAGCTGTGGCTGTACACTTGATGCTGGTTGTTTACACCTCTCATACTGTTTATGCATCTTATTTTAGATCGAGGAAAGTTGGGATTTTGGGCTGTTGCTGCATTGACAAGTGAAATATTTATTTCATCCAAAGGACTTCATCAGTCCAAGGAGACACAACAAACTCAGTCCCACAAGCAGCGCACACACATAGTGGACCAACCAGTTTGATGGTGATAAGATGGTTTCTGGAGTCCGCCCTCTCCCCCTTCGACTCCTCTGAAGCAGCCATGGCCAAAGCGGTTCAAAACATCTTTAAGTCAGGTCCTCTGGATGTGAACCAATTTGGCCATGGCTGCCTCAGAGGAGTCGACAGGAGAGAGGGTGGACTCCAGAAGTCATTTTATCACCATCAAACTGGTTGGTCCACTATGTGAGTGTGCTACCAATGGTACTGAGTTTGTTGTGGCTCTTTGGACTGAAGAAGTTTTTTGGATGAAAGACGAAATGTTTCAACACAAAGAAACCATTCAGAGGACCTGTTTCACCTGGATTAGTGAGCATGAACTTTGACATGAGAAAGCGACTCGATTCAGAGCATCCAGTCAAAACGTAAAGAAGTCCTGACAGCAGAATTCAACCATTTCAATCTGTCTTTATTTGGATTTGAATACACTTTATGGCTAATTCAATTTATTATTTTTATTCATTGCAGTCTTGTTTGATCCGGATGTCACAGTTTAACTCAAATGTTGTCATAAAAGTCTATAATTTCTAGGTAAACTAAAGTGGATGTAAAGGTCATGGATGTTTTTCACTTATTAATGTCAAATGTTATTGAACCATATGTGTGTGTTAAAGTTGTTTTGTCTTTGCAAAATGGAGCCTGTGCACCTGATAAACTTCAAGGCCCCTAAGCTGGAAAGCAGTTGTCTTGAGCTCGTCTCTGTCTGATAACCGTTATAAAAAGACAATTCTTTGTGCACTCTTTGAGCAGATCTTGTGAGCAGGGATTTGCACGACATCTTGAATGTTTGTTATCAATGCTGCTCCTCTTGCAAGACTAAACCTGGGCTAAGAAAGATCTCCTTTCCTGTGTGACTTATTCATTTAATGACTTGACGATAGGGTAATTAAATTATCTAATGTAAACTCTTGCTATATTAATCTTGAAATCAGTTGTCTTCAAAAATCCACACTTAAAATCAACTGTTTGTTTTTTCGTAGTGTTTAAATGTCTGTAAATACTGTAGAAAGTAAAACTAATCATTCAAATGGGCTTCATCAGCTGAATAAATTTAAAGGCAATGAGATCAACTCCTCAGCTTTTTAAAGTCAGAAACTAAAGTTTGTTTTTTGTTTGTCCCAGAAATGGAACCTGCGTTGAAGTAAAATCAAAGGTGACGGTGGAGGGCGACACTGTAACAGCATCAGGTAGGTTTCTGATCTGATTGCACTTTTTTTTTTCCTCGCTCGCTCTGGTACGATGCAGATGCATTCTCTTCCCTCTCCTGTTCTCATCCTGCTTTTTGCTCTCTGTCCATGTATTGGAGCTCCTATTTTACACATCTTCCGAAATGAAAACTACTGTTATGTATCTGACTAACTGGACTTTTGACACAATCGACAAAATATTTTCAACTAAGCGACAGGGTCCTGGAGAGCCCTCAAGTTCCGCTGAGAATCTCAGGAGGACGCCGAAGACATATACAATCGGATTTGTGATAATAGGTTTCCTGCTTTTTGGAAATGGCTGGTTCCTGGTCTATCAACATACAAAGAAGACAGGTGCAGCTAATCTGGCCCTCGTCAGGCTGCCTGCTTGTGAAGGTTTGGTTCGTGCTTTGAAGACTCAAAATCAGCTGATTTGCGAGTTAAACCGTAAGATGGAAGTGATTTGTGAGAATCGCAGGCCACCTGCGGCTTTGGGACTCGCCAGCATGAAACGACCTTGGAGGGGCTCATAAGCACGGACCAGTAGAATGCACCCTAATCTGGCCGTTTCGGATCTTGAAAGTAGCAGCAGGACTCAAGACTGACAAGGAAAAATAATCTGCCTGAAAAAATCAACAGTTGTGGATTATCTGAATCTGACTTCCCCGGTTGGCCTCGAAAACAGGCTGACGTATCAATTTCTCCTGGGAAATGTGGAAACTAAGGAGAAGGTTTGTCTATCGCACCGCCCCTGAACTTCTGTGGAAGCCTATCAGAACTGTGCCGGCTGACCATAATCTTATCAGGACAATGGACTATCTGGAAGTGCTTCATGGACCACCTTGTCATCAAATGCATATGTAACGTGTTCATAAATGTGCTTGCTGGCAGAGTTTTTAATCTTAAATCGTGTCCCGATAGGACAAGGTGCGAAGAGATCTTCTTTGTAATACCACTATCCTATCCTCATGGCTTTGACCTTTTTTCTATCTAACAAATGTCTGAAAAGCATCAGAGGCCGCGCTATCATAGCAGCAGCTATGTGCACTCCGCTCATCTCTGTATCTCGGTAAAATTATAATAAAGCTTATTCTGATTCTGATAAAAACAAAAAAAATATACTCTTATTTATTTTGTCATTTTAATACTAATTTTATCTACTGTTTCACATTAGTTTATCATTTCTAGTCTGTCATTCACAGTCTTTGAACATTTGAGTTTGTATAATTCAGTTTTTTTAAGTGATATCAGTTTCATGTTTGTTTGTTTGTTTGTTTATCTTTTTCTCTGTTAGCTACCAACACGACTTCAGTGTTTCACGTGCTGCCGAGCTGCAAGGGCTGTCTAGTCTTGAGCGCAACCACCACGGGCAAAAACTTCAAAAATGTCCTCAAACTCTTGAAAATCGACAGCGCTTCAGAAACTGATGAGCTCCATACTCGCGTTCTTTATCTCTTTGGTAGGAAGAAACCTGCCAGACAGAGAAAAATGGCTCATGAAAAACAAAATCCATCAAAGTTGTTGTGGTTGTTTTGTTTCCAGGTGAGGGGTTGACCCTGAAGGACTCTGATCTGGAGCATTTTAAGAAGCAGGCGAGCTGCCTCGGCTTCTCTGGAGAACCGGACTTCCACTACAACCCTGAAAAAAGTGATTCAACGGTGCAATCAAGAGAAACTGCTCATCTTAGACATGAAACAAAGTTTATTTTCTCCTTTCTTTGTCTGTGCAGGTTTCTGCCAGGAAGGTGAAGGATTCAAGGTGCTGGATTCCCAATGACCCTCCAAACAACTACCGTATTTTTCAGACTATACGGCGCAATATCAATGAACGGGTCTGTTTTCATACATGAGACGCATAAAGCGAAACAAAACAGTCAGATAAGTCAAAGTTTATTCAACTCATTCATAATAACTCTCAACATTGTTCAGTTTTATCACATAAAGTTGGTTCGAGGTCAGTAAGCACAACCAGAGTTAATACATAGGGCGCACTGGATTATAAGGCTCACTGACGACTTTTTAAGAAAATTAAAAGATTTTAAGTGCGTCTTATAGTCCAAAATATACAGTAAATCAAGCCGAAACTCGTGTTTGTTTTTTAAAGGTTTTAAATTCAATCAGCTCTGCCTCCTGTTTATTACTTTTTTATTGTTAATTCCACTGTCTTCAAAGCGTACAACTCATTCAGCCTAAAATGGTAAATATTTGGCTAACTGGTCCCATGTAAGAAGATTAACGTCTAAACTTATTGCAGTTGGGTCGGTTATAAATAAAATACAGATTGAAAATAATTTGTGTGAATTGTGAATTTTTAAACACAAAAACAAGAATTAGTACAAGAACTCGGATCTATGATAGAGTTGTAAAGTAGAAACCACAGATAAACTTGGAACTGCTTTGATTTGACTGAGCAAGACTGAATTAGGTAACAAGACAAAGTCAGAAGGAGTTAGTGAGACTTGAAGAACCCTTACTTAAAACTGCCATCAACATGAGAGATGTCTCTCAGGTAAGATGAAAATGAAGTTGGCAGGTGTTTATTTCCCTTTGGACCAGAACTCTAGAAAAGTCTAGGTGTCTCCGAACAGGCTCAAAGTGAGGCCTAAAACACCATGAACCCTGGGCAGCCATTTGTATCTTGATGTGTGGAGCTGCAGCGGTTCTGGTCTGGAGATAAATCTCATCTGGTTGTCAGAGGAGCATCCAGTAGAGGTGCAGAGGTCGGTTCTTGTGTCGACTGATCTGGATTCAGAAGTACCAGACTAGAGATAAATCAACATTAGAGCATGAGTCTGAAGAGTTATTGTTTTTTTCTTGAACTTGCTGTGAACATTCTGGCATCACCCACAAATGGTTGGGAATAATCTTGGAGAAGCTGTGAGCTCGACTTTCGGTGTAAGGAATCAGTTCGTCTGTTTGGAGTCACCATCAGAGAAATGTACCAGCGAGACATTTAAAGGCAGAAACGGCAATTTACGACTTCTACCTGACCCAAACTGTGGCCTTGACGGCGGACTGATCTCAATTATCCGCGCTAATTAGCAGCAGCTTTGTGCACTTCGTCCATCTTTCGGACGACTGTACGTACATGTTCTCGTTGTATCTCGGCGCAATGATAATAAAGCTTATTCTGATTCTGGCTCTGATTCTGATTTTGATTGTTGCATCGAATTGGCTGACTATTAAAACTTCACTTTGATGAAAGAACTCTTTACATCACAGTTTGCACAGAACAGCAGAGCACGACTCTTGGAGAAAATATATTCTCACTTAATTTACTTAAATAAAAAGAACCACGCTCTATGGTAGGAGAAAATTGTTAACCTGCAAAGTCAGATTTTCAGGACAGGTTACACAGATATACAGGAAGTACACACAAGAAGACCAGTCAAGAGAATCTGCTACGAGCTGTGTGTGAACCTTGTTTTTATACTATTATCAGTTCAGCTGAGCTCACAGAGTCGGAGGCATCCTTGAAGCGACAGCCGCATGCCTGCAGCCTCATCCAAGTCTCTCTGCTAACCCAAACATATGATTCATGGCCAAATTTAACATTCTCAGCCATAGTAGTTAAAAACTTATGGATGTTTTGATGAAAAATTCCCTTACAATGACATCTTCTTCTTCTTCTTCTCTTTCTTCTTCTTTCAGCGTTTCCCTCTTCAGTGGTCTCCAAAGTGAATCATCCTCCACCATCTCACTCTGTCCTCTGCATCCTCTGTCATCACTCCAACTACCTCCATGTTCTCTCTACCTGCATCCATATCTCCTCTTTGTCTTTTTCCTGGCAGCTGCATTTCTAACATCTTTCTACCAATATACCCACTGTCCCTCCTCTGGACATGTCCAAACCATCTCAGTCTGGACTCTCTAACTTTATCTCCCAGTTGTTCAACCTGTGCTGTACCTCTAATGATCTCATTCCTAATCCTATCCATCCTTGTCACTCCTAAGGAGAACCTCAACATCTTCATTTCTGCCATTTCCAGTTCTTTCTCGTGTTTTTTTTTATCCATGTCTCTGTCTCCAGATCATACAACTTAGCTGGACTCACCACTGTCTTGTAAACTTTTCCTTTGTTATCTTCTTTGTTTTTCATCCCCATGTCCATTACATCTGAAACAAGCCCAAAGCAAATTCTAATAAAATTTAATTTTTATATTAAGTGGAGCATTAAGGCCAGTCATAATGCTCTGCTTGTGAAAGTACATCTGTTGGGCATCACTTTGACACTCAGACAATAATTCGTGTCACAATGTCAGACAGGACAAGGGAAAAAAAATAAAAAACTTTTCCTTTGACCTTTGATGACACCCTTTTGCTGCAAATCACTCCTGAAACTTTTCTCCATCCATTCCATTCTGCGTGGACTCTCTTTTTCACCTCTTCACCACTCTTTCCCATTTTCCTGGACAGTGAACCCCAAGTACTTGAAGTCCTGCACCTTTGTGACCTCTTTTCCTTGTAGCCTCACTGTTCCACCAGCCTCCCTCTCATGTACTCTGTCTGACTACAGCTGACTTCCATTACTCTTTTTTCAAGTGCATACCTCCACCTCTCCAAGTTCTCTTCCACCTGTTCCCTGTTGTAACCACAGATCACAATGTCATCTGCAAACATTGTAGTCCACAGGGATTCCTGCCTGACCTCATCTGTTAGTTGGTCCATCACCAGAGCAAACAAGAGGGGGCTCAGAGCAGATCCTTGATGCACTCCCACTTTTTTTTTTTTCATTTAGCCTTTATTTATCCAGGTTAGTCTCATTGAGCCACGAGAACTCATTTTCAAGAGAGACCTGTTTAGGGAGCACATGGTGGGGGTTAAGGGCCTTGCTCATGGGCCCAGAGTGGGGCGAATGAGGGTGGGGGCAAGTGTGGGTGTTTCACCTACCCCACCCACAATTTTGATGTTGTCGGGGCCGGGGCGTGAACCGGCGATCTTCGGATCACAAGCCCACCTCTCTAACCTCTGTGCCACCACTCTTCCACATTAAAGCTATCTGTCACTCCTATAGCACATCTCACCACTGTCCTGCTTTTCTCAACGACGACAACGTGTTCTGAAAACAATATTTGGAGTGTTTGGTGGGACTGATGTTTTCAGTGAAAATTAAAGTTTTGATCATTGTATTGCAAACATAAAATCAAACTTCCATAAACTAAAGGTTTTATGAAAATGCTGTGACTGACATTATTCTATCTCCTGGCTTTGAACCACCAGTGGCAGCAGGTCTGAGACGATGGCTTTGTCTCATTCATAATCGAGAGCTGGTATTGTGGTCTTGTGGGGGAGAAACTTATCATCCAGAAGGTCCAGATGGAGAAACGTTCACTAGGTGGGAAGTCAGAAAGAAACTCTGAGCTCCTCTTTACAGTAGCTGCAAAATATCCCTCACTTGCTGAACAGTTTCGCACCCCCCATCTCTCTGATTTGCTACAGCCGTATGTCCCACCATGTTCCCTGAGGTCAGCGGACCAGTTGCTCCTCACAGTTCCAGGAACTCGTCTTAAGCGCAGAGGTGACAGGGCCTTCTCTGTAGCAGGACCAAGACTTTGGAACGAGTTACCTCTGCTTGTCAGACTGGCCCCCTCCCTCTCGGTTTTCAAATCCCGTTTAAAAATTCACTACTATTCTGTAGCTTTCAACACCAGATGATCTGTGATTTGAACCTGTTTGCTCCACACTGGTTAGTCGTCATATTTATTATCTGCATCGTTTTTATGTTTATTTTCTGATTTACCTCATTTTGTATATTTATTTGTGTGTTGCCTGTTGTTCTGTCTGTACAGCACTTTGGTTGGCCTTGTCACTGTTTTAAGTGCCCTATAAATAAAATGGTATGGTATGGTATGGTATGGTATGGTATGGTATGGTATGGTATGGTACTTTTAGCTCAAAAGCTAATCCTTTGACTTATAAATCCTATAATATCAAGACTTTTAAACCTTAAAACCCCTCTAATATCTACTTTAAAACTAGTTTTGTACAAGCTCCATTGCAGATTTTATTGTTGAATTTCTTTGTGGGATTAATAAAGTATTTTGATTCCATTATGTTATAAGTTGCACCTCATATTGAAACTCACCAGTTGAAAATGAATCAATGCTGATTTTGTATTGGCTTCTTGAAGTGGTGTCCCACTTTGTAGTGCAATGTTGCCCACGCTCCCTTGTGACTTGAATGAAGGGTCAGAAAGACCCTGGGTAGAGTTAACACTGAGATCAAATTCAGCCTTAAACGCTTCATGTTCAATTCAAAAATGTTTTCTTGAGTATTTAGGGCTTCACAATTTGTTCCATGACTAAAAACAGGTTGAATGAAAGAAGAATTTTAAGGTAACTCACAAAGCATACATTACCTTTGGACTGACCCATGGCCAGCATCTGCCATGAACTACGATAAACCAAACATAGCATCTTCTTGAACTGAGTGATCTGGCCACACAGACCGAGCGATTTCAGGGGCACACTCCAAACAAAGAGGTATAAGCTGATGTTATAATGTTCTGATAATGACCCACAAGATCATTTAGCCCAAAGGCAGCAAGAGGGTTAAATATAAAAATACATTGTTGCATGCTGATGTCTGCTTGATAACACAACTCAGCAAAAACTTACTGCATCTGTTTACTTGAAAGGCTTAACAACAGTTGATTGTGGTTTGCCTTCTTTAGCTGATGTCCCATTTTTTTATTGTAGAATACTATAATTTAACCTCTATACCTTAAGACTCAAATGAAAAGTCTGTGGGACTTTGGGTAAGGTTATAACTTTCAGCCTTAAAGGCTTCATCATGGAGGTTTCAGTGTTCCAAAACTTTCCATGACCAAGACCAGAATAAACTAAATCAAAAAAGGATCTTGAGTTAACTCATTAAGGTATTTTGATTTATATGTGGAGTTGTTACATTTTATTGTATCTGTTGGTTCTCATCATAATGTTGTGTTAATGCAAGCAGGTGACAACGACTGCATTCCCTTCAGGACATTAAAGGTATTATCTAATCTTAACTTGAGTACACAGTTTTTTGGACTGACCCTGGGCCATCTGGGGGCCCCTGAGGCATTAAATACCATGTGGCTGCTCTCTTGCTTGCTCCTGTCCTGTTGAAGCTCAGCGTGTTTGATTTTTGTCTCAAAGCACGATGTTAGTGAGGGGAGCAGTTCTGCTGCTGCTGCTGGCAGCCTTCGGCTCCAATGCGGCGCCACCGCCAGCTGAAGACTGCGCTAATGTGACCAAAAGACTGCCGACAAAAGATCTGCATGAGGTGAACTTGCTTCTGCCATTTATTAAATGTTTTCATTATATTTGATTTAGAAAGAAATATTCATGAGAGGGGGGCCCCCCCTCTCTTGGACCAGTTTTGGCCCCCCATTTGGTGGGTCGTGCTCCCCTCCGGTGGTGGGGCCCCCTGCCGCCGGTGCATTGGCGGCTCTCAGCAGCTGGGGCTGGGTGGTGGGGTGTGTGCGGGCCCGCCCTGTCGGGCCTCTGTTGGGGGGTGGTATAACCTCGGGACTCGGGGCTTGGTGTCCATGGCTGGATCCACTCTGGAGGGGCGGGTTGCCGGCGGGGCCTGTGGACTTGTCCCTACGGCCTCCTGGGGTTTCTGCATTGTGGTTGCTGGGGATCGCCCGGGGCTTCCCTTTGCTTCTCTCTCTGGGGGGTGCGGGTTTCCCTGTTGGGGGACTACCGGAGTTCCGGGCTTGGGGGCCGCTGTGTGTCTGTGGTTCTGGGCTTCCCTGTGTTAACTTCGTGTCCTGTGTGGACGGGTTTATGGGTCCCCACATCCACTATTGAACATTTTTATGGAGAAACCTTATAGTGATAAGCATGCTCACACAGGTGTTTAGATTCAGGTGTTTATCAGATACACACTCAGTTGGGTTGTGGTGGCCATCAAATATATATCGTATTACCATATACTGTATAAAATACTTTCTAATGATGTTATAACTATCATTATATAAGTTGTTTGTTGTTGTGGTTTCTTGGTTTTGTCTGGTTTTTCTCTCTTTCCGCAGGTCTAGAGTCAGACTTCAATGATGTTGATTTGTGTTCTCTTTATCCCTCTCTCTCTCCTCTATTCCCATCTCCTTCTTTACATTTTAACTCTTCTCTCACTTTTCTGCTTTGTTATCTTCTTTGTTTTCCATCCCCGTGTCCATTACATCTGAAACAAGCCCAAAGCAAATTCTAATAAAATTTTATTTATATATCAAGTGGAGCATTAAGGCCAGCCATAATGCTCTGCTTGTGAAAGTAAATCTGTTGGGCATCACTTTGACACTCAGACAATATTTCTAAGTGTCACAATGCCGGACAGGACAAAGGGAAAAAAAAAAAAAAAGAAAGAAATCTTCATTGCTTTTGTTTCATATGAGTCAAAATTAGCTCAATGCTTTTTTATTTTTCCCTTTTGAATTTTGGAGTTTTTTACAGTATCTGTTTCTTCCAGGTGTTTCATTACTGTTTATATACTGAGCAATAATTTACCAGCTGACTTTTAGCTAATGTTAAAGATTCATTTCACAAGTATTCTACTAACTGCATTGTAAAAGTTTCCTCCCTAAACCGCTGGTGGTCTGGGTTGGCTCAGATACTGATTTGGTTTTTCTCTTTGCCTTGCAGATTTTTGACCACTGGGTTCTGGTCTGGTCCGTCTCTGACCACGATGTGGGCCACGGCTTGTTGGCAAAGCTTTCCAGCTCCCACGTAGAGTTCAAACTCGACAATGACAACAAAACTATTGACATCATCGAAAGAAACAGATTAGTGTGAGTTCTCGCATTTAATTAATGGATCAGACGGAGGTCAAGCAAAGGGATCCAGAAAAGTATCTGTTTGAAAGTTCAGCAGACTGTTGTTGTTTTCTGACTCATTATTATTTTCAGTGAAAGGGGACATCATGACACATGCACAACCTACTTTACCAAGACGACGATGCCCTCAGATGATGCTGAACACCACACGATAAAATCTGATAACATCAGTAAGTCCGTCCATCACACAGATTAACACCCCAGCTCGTATATAGTAATGTTTTCATCAGGACCATTATAAGCTATTATAATAATAGGTTGTCTTCCACAAAAAAAAAAAAAAGATCTTTCTTGCTCAAAACTAACATCATTTACACTTTTGTCCACATTTTGTAGTTAAAACTCTGGATTATTGTTTGATAAACAGGTGCTGCAAATACAATGGATAACTGTAGATAATAAAGACTGATACATATCTGGTATTTACCGGATAATTACTTGGTACTTATTTAGTACAGGGGTGCCCAAGTCGTCGATTGCGATCTACGGGTCTATCGCAAAGGCTTTATGGGTAGATTGCAAGACATTAAAAAAATAGAACATCCATTCAACCTTTATTTATACAGGTTAGTCCCATTGAGCCACACGGACTAATTTTCAAGAGCGACCTGAAATTCATCTTCACTATGAAATTTGTCACTTGATTGACATACAGTGCAGCCAGTCACAGCTCTCATTCTCTCAAACCAGGTCACAGAGTGGAGATGTTGCGGGGGGAATTCTCCATGTGTGAAGTCGAACATGCTACAGGCGGACGCAGTCCAAAGTTTTTCTGCACTAACAACAGTTATAATAAATGGCAGAGAGAAGCTAGTTTTTATGCTACTCACCCTTTTTCAGCATGTAGGAGCAAAACTAATAAAATCCAGTTCCAAAGAGACGTTTGTGTATTCATCAGTTAGGACTTAACTGTGATCATGCAGAGATTGCATGCACTTTAAATGCAGCTGAGCCCTGCATCAGGGTTGCCAGATAAATTTAAAATGTCTTATTTACCCCCTCCTTTTCTTTTAAACAAACACAACACACACCTCACCTTAGAATACCTCACATGACAGTTTAAGTCAAAATGCTATCATTTTAAAGCCACAGTACTATTGTTCAAAATTTCTTATCTGGCAACCCAACTGACATGTAAACTACGGCGGTTTTCGTTTAAACTCACTCATTTTTGGGGGGGGGGGGGGGGGGGGTTAACCCCAATAAACGTTGAAAAACACTAACGTTTCCAGAGGTTGTTCTCGTGTAAATGGGGCCTTATAGTAGGTAGATCACGTTGTCTTGGTCTAGTGTGGGCACCCCGATCTAGTAGATTAAGGTATTTACCTGGTGTGTACCTAGTATGTACAAGTATCTGAAGCTAGCATGGTATATAGCAGTCACATACAAGAAACTTAACTAGTATACTAGATAAGTTTCTTGTACTTTGAAGTGATTGGTTACCTTTTCCTTACAGGGTAAGTACCTGGTATGTACTAGGTACTTAGCTCTTAGTTTTACTGGATTTGTCATGCATTCAAGTGGCTACCTGTCTCTAAAAATTATGAGGTGCCTGCGACATGATGTTTTTTGTAATGAATGCAGATGCTTTACTGGAAAGATAACATTAATAACATTTTAAAAATATTCACACCCTTGAGGTGAACAGTTGTTAAAAATATTTTCTCCTGCAGTAACAGGAAGTGATGGCGAAGGTGAATGCCTGAATGTAAACAGAGCAACGCTAAAATGCTAACACAGACAGTAGGGAAGAATCTGATGTTCCTTTAGATTGTTTTAAATTAACTATCAGAGAGAGACATACTTTGTAGAAGAGCCAGAGTTCAAATAAGACTGTCTTAATAAACAAAGATCAGGGATTTCCCTTTTGATGTCACTTCCTGTTTCTCTTTGGCTGCACCAGTTTAAAAGAATATGCCACTTATGTGACAAAATGGGTAAACTTGTGTGTCTTGTGACAATTTTTTTTCAATGATAAAATGGTTTCTTCCACTGTTTGTATTTGAAGAAAACACATAAAGTTATATCTTATGTCATAGGCACTTTAAAATCCCACACAACTGCATCATCAAATACCCACAACGCCTTTTATTTCTCTATTCAGCATCCCAATCCAAAGCAGTACTGTTACTGTTATTGCGTGTGAATGTGTTTTTGTGTGTTTTGGGCATTTAGAAATTGAAAAGAACGGCATTCCTCATGAGTACAACGACATTGGAGAAATGGACTTCTATCAGACCTGCTCCGACTGTCTGCTGATGATCTACAAAACCTCAAAGCAACAATACCTGCTCGTCTACAGTAACACTCTCACATGCACAATATTACAATAAAAACTGGTTCAACATTTCCCACACATTGACTGTGACTCACACTGAACTCCATTTTGTTAACACAATTGATCTCATTGTGTAAATCAGGGAGGGAGGGGTCACATCTGGATGTCGAGCAGCATAAAGCTGACCACGATGATCACAAGAAACTGGCTGAATGTTTGGGATTCCCTCACCACCAACCATTTATCTACAACGGAAAAGCAGGTTTGAGGCTTTAAACCATGATGATGAAGGCTTTTACCATCATCAGTACACTTTACACAGATAATGTGCTCTCACTCTCTTTTGCAGACTTTTGTCACAAATTATCAATTCCAATATCTGAAGAATGCCAGCCTATAGTCACACCTTTATCTCTGGATGACCCGTCTGTGGTAAACTTCCTAATTCCTTGTATTATGTTTTAAACAGCAACTTATCGTTGACATTTACCATACATTTAATCAAAACAGAAAGGTCTCATATTGATTAGTTTAACATTTACTAACAGATTTTGACTTGTCCTCTCCCATACCTCCTCTGCAGATTTTTGGCAACTGGGTTCTGGTCTGGTCTGTTTCTGATCATGACGAGGGCCACAGCTTGCTGGCAAGCGTCTCCAGCTCCCATGTGGAGTTCAAAGCCCTCCACGACAACCAAGGTGTTGAGTTCATTGAGAGGAACATATACCTGTGAGTACAGCCAGAGATATACTGTATTTGAGTGCGTGCACACATACGGATCATAGAGAACAGACAGCAGACATGTTTGTTTGAGAGTCTGAAGTTCAGCAGGCTGATGTTTTCTGACTTATTTGTCTTGTTTTCAGGGGAAGTCATGACTCTTGTACTGTGTACTATAGCAACTTGACAAAGGCCACTGGTGATGCTGACCAAAACACACTGAAAACTTCTTCCATCAGTAAGTCAGACCACACAAGCCCAAACAACAATACATGTGTTGTGTTCAGAGAGTACAGACTGACCAGATTAAAGCTGAGCCAATGGTCAAGGCATGGATGGACAAGGACAGGAGACAGAAAGCTGCAAAAAAGACAACCAACTGTAACATTGCTTCTGTAGGGGAATACTTGTAGTCGGATCCAACAATACACCTTTTAACAGATGTTTACCCTGACCGTTGGAGTGAACCGACCTTGATTAAACGGCACCTCATAACGTTGCGATTCCCCTCACTCAAATAAAGACACGAAACCCGATCAATTAAAATCACAACTCTGTAACATTTATTTTCAGTGTGAATAGTGACAATATGGCAAATATTGAATATGAATGAATAACCAGATTGTGTTATTTCAGAATGGTAAACAATATAAAATAGCTTAAAACTTTGAGAAGAGTTGTTATTCAATTTTGGACTAGCGTTAAAATTTAGGTAAACTTTATCTCAGATTCTTACAGTAAATTAAAGGTGTCTAAATGTTGTTGGCACAGACTTGTTTCTTTCATCAGAAGAAAGATGTTTTATCCTACTGGAGAGCTGTCCATCACCTCATTACCCATTATGGATACGATTTGAAAGCCGGAAGTTCACTCTGTCACCGGAGGGATTATTTCCTCCCGGACCACGTCTCATCTAGCAGTTGCCTCATCATTCTGAGGTGTTTGAGGAAGTTACATGGACTTTTCTCCATTTCAGCTGACTGGGCCCTATCCGAGGTGGAACTGGACCACTGACTCCTGGGGCTGGCTCAGAGCCAATTCTCAGCCAACGACTCTGCAACTCTCCATCAACTCACGTGCCAAAGTTTCCCTTCCGTGATACTAGAAAGGGGTGGTGCCTTATTCAATTGTAACCAATCAATGCAGCTTACGAACAGTGGGCTGCATAAATTAATTTTAATTATATAACCCTCTTCTCAAGGTTTTAGAGAGAAAATCAATGGCTTCTTTGTTTGCATGTTTTTAGAAAAACACCATTTTCTTCACAGACGTAAGTTTAGGTTTTTTTCACACAACATTGTTACAACACAGATGTTCTGTTTGAAGCTCTGTGCAGCTGGATAACTTCCTGGTTGTCTCAGCAACCACACCTCTTGTTACCCCGAGGCTATGATTGATTTCTGCTCCACTGTAGATATCGACTCTCTCGGAGATGAATGTCTGTCTTCTCAGGAAGGAGAGTTGATTAGCACAAAGGGCATATAATTCTTATGAGGAGTCATCTTGTCTGACCCAGGAAGAGAATAATGAGCAAAGGGGGTTGATTACCATACAGTCTCTACGGGGCCTGTATCAGGAAGGAGTCACACAGAGAGAGGTGTGTATGAGTTTAGTTACCATCTGTGAGGACAGGCTATGGCCGTCTGAAGGACAGGGTGTCCTGAATTATCCTGACTTGTCCTTATGAATCATAGAACACTACACTTCTTTTAAGAAAACGTGAACAACATTGCAGGTTCGTAAAAATAGAACCAATGATTAAGCTTTATATAAACTGCAGATTAACTGATTAGTTCGCCAATAATTTAGAGCAATCATTAAAATTTATTTCATGATTCCTACTCCTAGTGTGCTTTTACCAGCAAGGATGATTTTAGTTTAGTTGCTTTTTTTTTTTTTTTTTTTTTTGTGGTTTTGTTGTGTTTTTTTGCTCATCACGTGCAGACCCTAAAAAAAGCCGACTGGAAGATGATGCTAACTTTTGACAGAATATTGTCACACCTGATGGGATGTGTTTTGGTGTTTGTGTGTCTCAGGAAAGGAGACTGATGGAGTGGTTCAGGAGTACAATGACACTGGAGTTGTGGACTTCTATAAGACCTGCGCCGACTGTCTGCTGATGAATTACAAAACCTCGACGCACCGATACCTGCTGTTCTACAGTAAAACACTCACACATGCACAATATTTAATGAAACCAAAACATGCATGTTTAGGCTGCCTTCAGGCCCAAACCTCCCATTGCCTGGTTAAATAAAGGTTAAATAAAAATAGGGTTACCACAGAGCAATTGTGACTCACGTTAACCTCAATTTTAACATGGATGATCTTGTTTTGTGCATCAGAGAAGGAGGGGTCCCATCAGGATGTGGAGCAACATAAAACCCACCATGATGATCACAAGAAGCTGGCCGAGTGTCTACGATTCCCTCACCACCAACCATTTATCTACAATGGAAAAGCAGGTTGGTGACTTTAAACCACGATGCTGAAGGCTGTTAACATGATCAGCACGTTTCATTCATCTCACCTTGTTCCAGATTTCTGCCACAAGAAGTCTGCACCAGAGGCAAACCCTGAACAGTCCTGAGTGGAGCAAAAAGGAAAGACATTGAAGAGAAATAAACGCATACACTAAGCCCGTCACATGTTCCTTTGTCTTGTTTTTTTTTGTTTGTTTTTGTTTTTTAATAAAACGGTTCAAACCAATGATATTCAAAAATAATTAAAAAGATGTGAGTCACTTTATATTGATTCCCTTTTCAGGTTCATAAATTATAAAGATGCATACAATTACACTTACAGAAGTAAGGAGTACTTGCAGGAGGATCAATCCTCACAAGGCAACTGGCCCGAACAACATCCAGGGGAAGATGCTGAACGACTGTGCCGATCAGCTCTGCGAGGTGCTGGCTGACATATCTAACTCTTTCCTCACACTGGCAACAGTTCCCATCTGCCTCAAGACTGCCACCATTATCCCAGTTGCAAAGAGCTCTACAGTGACTGGCCTGAATGACTATCAGCCAGTAGCCCTCACCCCGATAGTCGCTAAATGCTTTGAAAAACTGGTCATGACCCACATCAAAGCTAACATCAACATCAACATGGACCCTCACCAGTACGCATACTGCAAGAATCGTTCAACAGAGGATGCCATCTCCTCTATGGTCCACACTGCTCTCACCTACTTGAAGCAAAAGGACTCCTACATCCATATGCTCTTTGTGGACTTCACATCTGCCTTCAACACCATGATTCCCCAGACCCTGATGAACAAACTAATCACACTAGGACTAAGTCCCTCTCTATGCAACTGGGTACTAGACTTCTTAACCAACAGACCACAATCTGTGAAGATCCACAACTCCTCCACCATAACCCGCAGCACGGGCTCTCCCCAGGGCTGTGTGTTGAGTCCCCTCCTGTTCACTCTGCTAATGTATGACTGCATACCAACCCATCCAGGCTGTCATATTGTAAAGTTTGCAGATGATACAGTGGTGGTTGGTTGCATCAAAAATAACGATGAGTCCAGCTACTGGCAAGAAGTGGAACACCTGGAGAACTGGTGCATGAAGAACAACTTTCACATCAATGTGAATGGGACGAAGGAGATGGTTGTGGACTTCAGAAGGAATAAACACACCTACCCCCTGAACATAAGAGGATTTGCAGTGGAAGTGGTCTCCAGTTACAAGTACTTGGGTGTGCACCTGAATGATGACCTCAGCTGGAGCAACAACACCACCAGCCTGATCGAGAAAGCTCATCAGAGACTCTACTTCCTCAGACTACTGAGGCGAGCTTGACTGGGAATCTCAGTCTTCACCTCCTTCTACAGGTGTGCAGTGGAGAGCATCCTGTGCGCAGCATCAACATGTGACATGGAGGCTGCACAGCTGCAAAAAGAAAAACTTTGCAGAGAGTGGTGAAGGCTGCACAGAAGATGTTGGAGTCAGCCTTCCCACCATCACAGACATCTACACACCTCCAGATGCAGGAAGAGGGCCACCTGCATCGTGAAGGACCCCACACACCCAGCACACACACGTTTTGCCCTGCTTCTCTCAGGCAGAAGGCTGAGGAGCATTAAGTGCAGAACCACCAGGCTGAGGAACAGGTTCTACCCTGAGGCTGTTAGACTCATGAATCTCTAACCAGGAAAAATCACTGAGTAAATTACTGTGAAAAAACAAACAAACTGAAAAAGTCACTGCAATGCCACTTGGTTGTTGATATGTGCTGCTGACTATCCAAGATGCTGATCTCATGCTGCTGATTATTTCATGTTGCTGTGTTCATTAGTCTAGATCATCTGCTCACACAGAGTCATGTTTGTGCTGCTGTTGTTTTGGCTCATTGTTTTTGTACTATTAGTGCTTAGTGTATTCTTAGTCTTGTGTATTCTTAGTTTAGTGAATGTAGTGTATTCTTAGTTCATGACTCGGATCTTACTCGTTGGTTTTTTTTACAATTTGTATTTTTGTTGGATGTAACTGGGAGCCTGTGTACATAGTTTTGTTTCAACTCATGTACCACATGTGATGTGAATGACAATTAAAAATCCTTGAATCCTTGAATACAAATCAAAAGACTGGAAAACAAACAAAACTAAAGAAATTGCATTTTCTACAAAAATGCAGTGTGAACACTGCTGAAAAAGCTGAAACCTGTAAGGGTTAGCTCTATTCCCAGATAGTATGCGAGCAAGAACAACGACTTCAGGGCCAGGAGAAAATTTAACTCTTTATTTACAATGAGTGAATAAATATGAACAGTATGAAGGATCACCAAGTTGGGACTAGAACCCTGGAGTTTAAGGGACAACGTTAGTTGGAGGCTTCTTCTTGAAGGCTGGTTTTGATTTTCAGGTTTGTCCTTGCTGGAACAGGTCTGTGGAGCTGTCCAGTGCATCCAGACCATCTCAACTCCTTCTACGCCCGGTTTGATGCAAACAACACCACACACATGACCAGACCACATGTGGACAGTGAGGACACCACACTTTGTTTAGACACTGCTACAGTGAGACGGGTATTCAAGAAGGTAAATCCCCAGGACGGGTGCTGAGAGTGTGCACTGACCAACTCACCAAATTGTTTACCAACATCTTTAACCTGTCTCTGAGCCAGTCTATTGTGTCCACCATCTTCAAGACCTCCACTGTTGTCCCCATCCCAAAGACCTCTGCAGCATTGTGGGCCGAGATGGTGTAGGGGCAGGGCAGACGACTTGGGACCAGAAGTTCTCCACACCATCCAGGACATCTACCACAGCCGATGTCTGTGAAAAGCACGCAGCATAATTAAGGACCACACCCACCCAGCACAAGGACTCTTCCGCCTACTACCCTCTGGCAAATGATACAGGAGTCTGCCATCGTGCACGAAAAGACTCAAAGACAGTTATTATCCACACGCTGTGGATAATAGATTTTTGTACAAGCTCCACGGCATACTGTATTGTTGAATTTCTCTGTGGGATTATTAAAGCATTTTAATTCCATTATTTATAAATTGCACCTCATATTAAAACACACCAAATGAAAATAAATCACTGCTGGTTTTGTATTGGCTTCTTGAAGTGGTGTCCCTTTTTGTAGTGGAATATGTTAGCCACGTGCCCGTGTGACTTGAATAAAGGGTCAGATGAATCCTGGAAATCCTGGGTAGAGGCAACACTGAGGTGACATTCAGCCTGAAACGCTTCATGTTTGATTCAGAAAGGTTTACTTGAGTACTGAAGGCTTCACAAAATGTTCCATGACTAAAAACAGGTTGGGTCAAAAAAGGATTTTAAGGTAGCTCACAAAGCATACATTACCTTTGAACTGACCCATGGCCAGCATGGGCCATGAACCAAAATAAACCATCTTCTTGAACTGAGTGATCTGGCCTCACAAAGTGGGGCATTTTAAGGACACACATCAAACAAAGAGCTATAAGCTATAAGGTATGCAATGTCCTGATAATAACCTACAAAATCTCTTTCACCCGATGGCAGCAGGAAGGTTAAATATTAACAATATATTATTACATGCTGATGTCTGTTTGATAACTAGTTAGACAACAGGCACAAACTCCAGCAAAAACTTACTGCTTCTGTTTACTTGAAAGGATTAACAACAGTTGATGGTTTGTTGGCTTCTTTAGCTGATATCCCTTTTTTTTTAAGAATAATTTAACCTATTTGCCTTATGACTCAAACGAAGGGTCAGTGGGACTCTGGACATGTTGGGTAGGGGCAACAATGACATAACAGCCTTAAAGGATTCATGATGGAGGTTTCAGGGTTCCAAAACTTTCCATGACCAAGACCAGAATAAACAGTCTAAGTCAAAAAAGGATCTTGAGTTACCTCATTAAGATATTTGGATTTATAAGTGGAGCTGTTGTATTTTATTGCATTTGTTAGTTTTCATCAGTGTTAATGCAAACAGGTGATAACTACTGCATTCTCTTCAGGACATTAAAGGTATTATTTAATCTTACCTTGAGTAAACAAGTTTTTTTTTTTTTTTTTTTTACTGACCCTGGGCCATCTGGGAAGCCCTGAGGCATTAAATACCATGCGGTTGCTCTCCTGCTTGTTCCAGTCCTGTAGAAGCTGTGTGTGTTTGTTTTTCATCTCGACGCACGATGAGTTTAGTGAAGGGAGCAGTTCTGCTGCTGCTGCTGGCAGCCTGCAAAGCGGTGCCACCGCCGCCGGCTGAAGACTGCGCTAATGTGACCAAAAGACTGCCGACAAAAGATCTGCATGAGGTGAACTTGCTTCTGCCATGCATTATATGCTTTTATTATATTTGATTCAGAACAAAATCTTCATTGCTTTTGTTTTATATGAGTCAAAATTAGCTCAATGCTTTTTACTTTTCCCTTTTGAATTTTGGAGTTTTTTTACGGTATCTGTTTCTTCCAGGTGTTTCATTACTGTTTATATATTGAGCAATAATTTATCAGCAGAGTTAGCTAATGTTAAAGATTCATTTTGCTTATTTTCACAAGTTTGTTACTAACTGGATTGGAAAAGTGTCCTCCCTAAACCATGGTGGTCTGGGTTGGACCAGATACTGATTTGGTTTTTCTCGTTGCCTTGCAGATTTTCGACCACTGGGTTCTGGTCTGGTCCGTCTCTGACCACGATGTGGGCCACGACTTGTTGGCAAAGCTTTCCAGCTCCCACGTAGAGTTCAAACTCAACAATGACAACAAAACTATTGACTACAATGAGAGACATCGATTCGTGTGAGTTTTAACGTTTAAAGGATCAGACGGAGGTCAAGCTAAAGGATCTTTGGTTAAAGGCGAACAGAAAATGAATCTGTTTGAAAGTTCAGCAGATTGTTGTTGTTTCCTGACTCATTGTTAATTCTTTTCAGTGAAAGGGGACATCATGACACATGCACTACCTACTTTAACAAGATGGCGATGCCCTCAGATGATGCTGAACACCACTCGATAAAATCTGATACCATCAGTAAATCCGTCCATCACACAGATTAACACCCCAACTCATATATAGTAATGTTTTCATCAGGACCATTATAAGCTATTATAATAATTAATTGTTTTTCAAAAATAAGAAACAAGATCTTTATCGTTATTTACAAGAGAGACATGATTTCTTTAACAAAGAGTGATGACAACAGTGGATAACAACGACAACAATAGACAATCGCAAAAGAGGCATACAGATTTTTATTTTTATTTTTTTACAAATTTAAATAACATGGCAACCAAAAGTACAGTCAAAAGGAAAAAGTAGGCGGAGTAGAAAACTAAAAACAGGAACATGTCTGCATTGGTTCTTGCCATGAACTTAATGTAACAGATGTTTAAAGCCAGAGGTCCAGGTCGAGAGCTTCAGATCTTTTTGCAGAATATTCCAGGAAACAAGAACGGAGTAGGAGAAGGCCTTTTTGCCTAGTTCAGTTCTCACTGAGGGGATACTGCAGGTAATAATGTCCTGAGAGCGCACGCTGTAGCTGCACTCATGCAGTGACATGTAGGAGGAGATGTATGAAGGCAGCAGACCAAGAAGTGATTTAAAGATGAAAATGTACCAGTGGGAGAGTCTGCGTGAAGTTAAAGATGTCCAGTTAACCAGTGAATACTGGGTGCAGTGGTGGGTACGATAATCACAGCCAGTTATGAATCTTAGTGCACCATGATAGACAGCATCCAACATCTGCAGGGTTCTTGTAGGAGCGTTCATGTAAATAATGTCACCGTAGTCAATGGAGGGAAAGAAAGTCACAGTTACAAGGCGTTTCCTAGCATTCAGGGTTAGACAGGATCTATTGCTGAAAAGAAATCCAGTTTAACTTTCAGTTTTTTTACTAGGTTTTCCACGTGGAGCTTAAAAGAGAGATGCGAGTCGACCAAGATACTCAAATATTTATAAGAATCAACAAACAATATGGACACCGTTTGAGGATAAAATCAGAGGAAGAACTGCTGGGACTGATTTCCTGTTTGAAAAAAGCATCCCTTTGGTTTTATCGGCATTTAGGACAAGTTTGAGATGGAACAAATCTGACTGGATGATGTCAAAGGCGGATTGCAAAAGCTGGAAAGCCTTAGCAACTGTTTTAGCTTGACAATAAACTAATGTGTCATCATCACAGAAATGTAAGGATGCATCAATTCAATTCAATTCAAAAATACTTTATTAATCCCAGAGGGAAATTAAGTGTTGTCGTAGCTCATCATCCTGGTTTCATTCAAGAGCTGTTATAGATGCTGATAGTTGTGGGCAGGAAGGATCTCCTGCAGTGAAGCTGAAGAATCTGGCCACAGGTACCAATCTGTCCACCCAGATCCATCTTGCAGATCCGGCGGGCCTCTCGGTCCTCCTGGGCAGCAGGATTGCCCTAATGCCGGACAGAATTCCTCCCTGAGTGATGGTCACTCCTCCTAGCAGTCTGCAGAGCTCCACACGAGCCGAGTTTCTCACCAGTTCCAGGATCTCGGTGGTGAGGTCTCGAGCACCGCCGCCAGGTTGACGGGAATTTGTCCACGGCACCTCCTTTTCAACTCACGTGGGATTTGGGGCATCATTGCACCCTGTAGGTGCTGAGGGATGATCCTGTCCTTCTGCTGTCACGAGCCGTGTCTCCCACCAGTTCCAGGATCTGAGTGGTCAGGCACTCGAGCACAGCTGGCAGGCAGATGAGAATGCATCCACAGAACATCTTTCTCAACTCGTTTGAGATTTGGGGCTGTAGTTGAGATATTATTTGAGCTTTTGAGGTGTTAATCAGCTGCTGTTGGTGGTAGAAAACTGCTCGTTGCCATGGTTACGCATCATAACAAATGTCCAAAACTAAAAAAGTTTCAGTAAAAATCCTTCCAGCTGCACAGCGTCTGATACCAGAGAAAACAGACAACCAAAAAAACGTGATCCACATCCAGAAAAGAGGAATTAAAGTTTCCAAAAGCAAAATCTCAGAATGAAAGTAACAGAGCTGCTCCAACATGCAGCCACCTTGAGCGGCGCAATTCTAGAACAAGTATCAGTATCAGGGATACTCTAACCTACATTACCTATGTAGATTGTAAAGAGGGTGGGTTAGGGTTAGTGCAACATGGTGGCAAAGTCATCATAAAATACCCACAATGCCTTTTATTTCTCTATTCAAGATCTCAATCCAAAGCAGTACTGTCACTGTTAATGTGTGTGAAAGTGTTTTTATGTGTTTTGGGCATTTAGAATTTGAAAAGAACGGCATTCCTCATGAGTTCAATGATACTGGAGCCGTTGACTTCTATCAGACCTGCTCCGACTGTCTGCTGATGATCTACAAAACCTCAGCGGAACGATACCTGCTCGTCTACAGTAACACTCTCACATGCACAATATTACAATAAAAACTGGTTCAACATTTCCCACACACTGACTGTGACTCACACTGAACTCCATTTTGTTAACACAATTGATCTCATTGTGTAAATCAGGGAGGGAGGGGTCACATCTGGATGTCGAGCAGCATAAAGCTGACCACGATGATCACAAGAAACTGGCTGAATGTTTGGGATTCCCTCACCACCAACCATTTATCTACAACGGAAAAGCAGGTTTGAGGCTTTAAATCATGATGATGAAGGCTTTTACCATCATCACTTTACTCAGCTAATGCACACTCTTTCTCTCTTTTGCAGACTTTTGTCACAAATTATCAATTCCGATATCTGAAGAATGCCAGCCTATAGTCACACCTTTATTTCTGGATGACCCGTCTGTGGTAAACTTCCTTATTCCTTGTATTTTGTTTTAAACAGCAACTTATTGGTTGACATTTACCATACATTTAATCAAAACAGAAATGTCTTATGTTGCATAATTTTACATGTACGTACTTCCAGATTTTGACTTACCCTCTCCCATACGTCCACTACAGATTTTCGGTGACTGGGTTCTGGTCTGGTCTGTTTCTGACGATGACGAGGGCCACAGCTTGCTGGCAAGGATCTCCAGCATCCATGTGGAGTTCAAAGCCCTCCACGTCAGCCAAGGTGTTGAGTTCATTGAGAGGAACGTATACCTGTGAGTGTTCATGTTGAACCATTGACTCGGCCAGAGATATACTGTATCCAAGAGCGTGCACACATACGGATCACAGGGAAGAGACAGCAGACATGTTTGTTTGAGAGTCTGAAGTTCAGCAGGCTGATGTTTTCTCACTGATTTGTCTTGTTTTCAGGGGAAGTCATGACTCTTGTACTGTGTACTATAGCAACATGACAAAGGCCACTGGTGATGCTGACCAAAACACACTGAAAACTTCTTCCATCAGTAAGTCAGACCACACAAGCCCAAACAACAATGCATGTGTTGTGTTCAGAGAGTACAGACTGACCAGATTAAAGCTGAGCCAATGGTCAAGGCATGGATGCACAAGGACAAGAGACAGAAAGCTGCAAAAAAGACAACCAACTGTAACATTGCTTCTTTTAAGAAAACATTAAAAACTATACATCCATCCATCCATTCATTATCTGCCGCTTGTTCCGAAGTCGGGTCATGGAGGCAGCAGCTTGAGCAGGGAAGCCCAGACATCTATTTCACAGTCATCTCTTCCAGCTCTTAGGGGAGGACTCCAATGTGCTCCCAGACCAACAGAGAGACGTAGTCTCTCCAGTGTGTCCTGGGTCTTCCCCGGGGTCTCCTCCCAGTCAGACATGCCTGAAACACCTCCCTAGGGAGGCGCCCAGGGGCATCCTTACCAAATACCTGAACCGCCTCAACTGGCTCCTCTCGATGTGGAGGAGCAGCGGTTCTACTCCGAGTCTCTCCCAGATGACTGAACTTCTCACCCTGTCTCTAAGTCAGAGTCCAGCTACCCTACGGAGGAAACTCATGTCAACCGCCTGGATCCACAATCTCATTCTTTCAGTCACTAGCCAACATTCCCAGTGGAAAAACATTGTAGTTTTCTAAATATAAGTTTAACTATGAGGTGGGGTGAGCAATGTTTTTTTTTTCCATAGGGCCAAATGAAGTTATTAAAAGCCATCAGAGGGCAGCGCTGAGAATTGGATAATACATTTTCTTTACCATTCTTCTTCTTTATGAATCTGGAAGAATTAGTACTCTTTAGGATTATAAGACATACTTTCTGAAACCTAGTTCTTGTAACATTTGTTAGCTTAAATAATCATAAAAACAAAGCATACGTTTGATTTTTAGAGTTTTTTTAAGGTTCTGTCTAGTTTCTGGAAACAACATAAAAAGGTTGTGGTCTATCTTAATCCAAAGTTTTTCAAAGTATTTGTCCAAGATGTTTACTTTATACTTCTTTGATTTTCATTGCTAGAATGCAGGTTTTCATCAACTTTTTTAAAGATGTTTTTTTTTCCAATTAGGAATATTGGGACACAAATGAAAATTATCCAAGGTCTGATTTTGGCCATCAGGCCATAAATGCCTCTGTTAAAAATGCAGATTGACTGATTAATTGGCCAATAATTTAGAGCAATCATTAACATTTATTTAATGATTTTCTACTCCTAGTGTGCTTTACCAGCGAGGATGATTTTTGTTTAGGTTATTTGTTTGTTGTTGTTTTGCACATCATGTGCAGACTCCAAAAGAAGCTGACCGGAAGATGATGCTAACTTTTGACAGAACACTCTCACACCTAATACGATGTGTTTTGGTTTTTGTGCGTTTTAGGAAAAGTGACACATGGAGTGGTTCAGGAGTTTGATGACACCGGAGTCGTGCATTTCTATAAGTCCTGCTCCGACTGTCTGCTGATGACCTACAAAACCTCGACGCACCGATACCTGCTGATCTTCAGTAAAACACTCACACATGCACAATATTACAGCAAAACCAAAACATGCATGTTTAGTCTGCCTTCAGACCCAAACCTCCTATTGCCTGGTTAAATAAAATTTGGGTACTTACCACAGAGCGATTGTGACTCACGTTAAACTCAGTGTTAACATGGATGATCTTGTTTTGTGCGTCAGAGAAGGAGGGGTCCCATCAGGATGTGGAGCAGAATAAAACCCACCATGATGATCACAAGAAACTGGCTGAGTGTCTACGATTCCCTCACCACCAACCATTTATCTACAATGGAAAAGCAGGTTGGTGACTTTAAACCACGATGCTGAATGCTGTTCAGCACGTTTCGTTCATCTCACCTTTTTCCAGATTTCTGCCACAAGAAGTCTGCACCAGAGGCAAACCCTGAACAGTCCTGAGTGGAGCAAAAACAAAAGACATGGAAGAGAAATAAACACATACACTAAGTCCGTCACATGTTCCTTTGTCTTGTTTTTTTGAAGAGCTCCATTCATTTCAATGTGAAAAACATGGCCGACAAAGCTAAATTTTTCAAAAAGTTTAAATTGCACAAACACCAACAATCATAGCAGGAATATCCCGAATGAGCTGAACATTTTGATTTACGAATAGATGAAATGGCACAAGAATTCAGGAGGAAGTTATGCATCGAAAATCGTACAGAACAAAAGTTATCTGAGAAACTGATTTATAAACATTCACAAATGGAACATGTAACGTTATTTTTAGTAATAATGTCCATTATATTACATATTGTGTTTCTGTCTAACAGCAGAAATGGGAAATAATCAAGCTTTAAAGCGATCTGATCGTTACCATCCAGACTTTATTGATTCCTGATAATTATTAACTAAAATGGGACAATCCCAACATTCAGCCTCTCCGCTCGCTGTTATCACAAACATGTCGCCGAGTTCAACAGAAAATTTTAACTCAGAAGCTGCCCATTTATTTTCTATTTAAAAAATTTAATTCAATGAATCAACCAAGATTGTCTTTTTAATAACATGAATAAATCTTACTTTATTAGAACCTATCCTCATATATTTCTGTTCTGAGAATGTGTAAAGTCTTAAAAACATCACCTGAATTGAAACTTTTAAATCTTTTGTATTCCTTTCTTGGCCCGCTGCCTTCTAAAAAACATAAGAATCTGAACTAATATTCTTCTGATTAATAAATAAAGTCAGAGCAATGGCAAATACATTCAAATAAACACCTAACTCCAACAAATACTATTTTTGTGAAAGGACAAAAATACTTAAATAAAACTGTTTGTAGAAATATTTCAATCTGTTTGGTTCTAAATCATAAATCATGCAGTTTTTCTTCAGGTAATGAATACATTTAATTTAAATCTCATCAGAAAAAAAACGTTTTCTATTTTTAAAAACAACAAAAAAGGTTGAATCATGTCATCTGGACTTCGTTTTTTTGTTAAAAAGAAACGTTTCGCCCCTCATCCAAGAGGCTTCGTCAGTCTGAGGCCTAGCCATCTGGTATTACCCAGAAGCCACCCTGACTCTTGTGTTTCAAGCCTGCCTCAGATACCCCTGAAGTCTGGCCTTTTCACTAATGGTTTCAAAAACGCAAAGTTTGTTTTCTCAGTCATCCAGGTATATA